TTACTTAAAATGCATCAATAGAAATAAGTTTTTAGTTAATATATTTTATTATTACAAAATAAATTTCATTTAAATTAAATTAATTTCATGTAAGTAATTAAATATAATCAAAGTCAAAGTATATATATTTGATGTTACAATATTTTTTGATATCCCCAACACCAACTGAGTTTTCAAATGTAATATATTTATATTAATTGAATGCAGTTCGTTAAAACTGCTTCCCAATAAAGTTTGCAGCATATCCATGAAATTTATCCGCCACGCATAAAATATATATTTATATATATGTTTATGCACGACAGCAAATGGGCCTCAATTAATTTCCAATACTGTAAAATTGTAAATAAAATATTCGAGCTGATGCCATAAACTTGACAATCTCAGCTCTCTGTTCTGCGGCAATAATTTTTGCCTTAACTGCAAAACGCTTTTTTGGCATAAAAAAAACAAATAAGAAAAAAACAATTAATTGGGCGCATGGGCGTGGCAGCTGCAGCATCAGCATTCATTTCCATTATAAATGTCAACAGCGGGGGAACAAATGGAATTTGAAGGAGTTAAATGGAGAGAAGGATAGGGTAGGGAGAGGAGGAATGGTTAGCATCACCCATGTGCGATATATGAACGAATTTAATTATTGTTCATGTGCTGAAATATGAGCAAATTTATTTATGGCTCTCGCTCTGTGCCTTACTGTGACACAAGCAGTTGTCATGGTTCTTGTTCTGTTTGTTGTTGTTGCATGTTTTTTAAGCGTTTGCCGTTGCATACATAAATGCTGCACACAGACAAACTACACAAGTATTGAGCAGCAATTCCCCTTTTTTATGGCATTGAACGAGTCTCGTTACCTGCTGGGGCCAACGTGTCGTATGAGTTATGGTCGTCACTGGCGTATGATTAATATTCAATTACATGGCACAAGCAGCATGCACTCTACACACCCAACCATTAACACACCCACACACAAGCACACACAGCGTTGGGCTGGCAACACTTTTTATGCTCTTTTTGCAGCCAGCCAGAAAACTTTGCTAATTGCCCCATAAACAAAAACAGAAATACAAGAAAAAACAATCGAATTAATGCACAGCCTGCAGTCAGCGAGCCACAAATATGCATTTTTCTTTTCATTTAATTATGCACAACTGTTGGCTTTTGGCTGTGGATGATGAGGCTGCCAGAGGACTTAATGGGGCTACGTGCTTCGTTTTGAGATTATGCAACGGCAAAAGCTTCAACGAAGTGTGGCCTGTTGCTTGAATGTGTGTGAATATTCAGTTAAGCTGCTCAAATAGCTTATGACGGACTTAAGTCTGCTGTGGATCTAAGTAAGAAAGTTGGCTTAGCTAATGGAAGATTAGAGAGCATATTATAATTTCATTTTAATTTCTATATTTTAACAAGATTTGGTAAATTAATCAGGGGGATTTTTAATTCAAGACGCTTACTTGAGAGCACTTTAAATGAAAATTCGAAAAAGCAAACAGGCAAAAATGAACATTCATTTTTTTCAGAATCAGAAGAAATATTGTCTTATAGATAAAAGAATACGTGTGCGGCAAAAGTTCATATGTGTCAGAGCTTTGAGATCTAAAAGCCAATTTTACTTATAAATTTTCTATAAAATAATGTTAAGATACTTGAGATTAATACAAACATTTTTTCCAGCTTTGTTTCGAAACATGAGGACATATGAGTTACAATTTACTTTACTCCATTTTTTTCATTTTTTTTTGTACAAAAATTGTTTATGAAATATATAATAGAATTAGATATGTTTTTATTTACATAATAAAACCAATTTCTATTACTTGCTTCGGCTTAGCTAATTTATATTTAATTGCCACTTAATTTTTTTTCTTTACAATTTATTTTAGGAATTTATGATGTTGGCCCACAGCTAGAAATATTGTTCCAAATTTTTTTTCTTCTTTTTTTAAGGTAATATGAGCGACAAGTGCTGCGTGTGGCTTTAGCATTAGCTATTATATTCGGCTTTTGACAAGGCCAATTGCTGTGATTTATGGTGCCATTATTTAGAGCTTAGAGGCACGTGCTTTGTGCCTTAATCTATCACTGAGTCAGCACACAAAACTTCAACTTAACCACAGCTGAAATAATAATTATTTACCAAAAAAAGCAGCAAATGTGGTTTTAATTTGTTTGCAAGTTGGCAAAAAAGCGAAAAGGTTAACTTAATGTTTACTTTCGTTTAATGATTATTTTTTATTTGACATATATAAATATTCAAGCTTCATATTTGTTGATTTATAGTATTAAATATTGTAAATTCGTTAATGTGAAATAAATACTCATTTATTTTATTTATTTATTTTGTAATTTCCCAAGTTAAAAGTACATGTACATAACAAAAAGGTTATTTAATTTTTAATATATAATTATATATTTGAAAAATAAACAGAATGTATAAAAATAACCTACTTTAATTGAAACAACAACATTTTATAACAATATATGCTTATTTCAATTCATAGAAGCATTCGAGTGAGGCTTTAAATGTCAATAATTCAATTAAATTCATTAAATTCGATTCGATAAACAGTGATTAAAAGTGTTATTCAATGTATAGAGTTGATCGAATGATCTATGCTTGTTTTAATAACCAGATATTTTTATTGAACGCCAGCGGGGCGTATACGTAAAGCGTGACAAGCGCACGTAGAAAGGCAACGTTGTGTGCGTGTACTCATTTATGCATTTAAGACACGCTTGATTACATATACACACAGCCCTACCCATGCACGCACACATACACTGGCCAACAAAGTTACGCCCCTAAATTGCATATTAATTGCTCATTAATTGTTGATTAGCCCTCAAGCTGCGGGGGTGGCGGGACGGCAAAAGCACGCTGAGTGGCAATCTCAGCGCTCAGTGCAGTAACCCTGCCCTCACCATCTCTGCCACCCCTTCCTCTATCAATCGCTAAGCGCTACTAATCTTTAGTGTTAAGTTAAGTATACGCAAAACTTATCAAGAGGCTTAGTGGAAGGCTCTTGTTGCGTCCGGCATTAGTGCGACAAAATGTTGTAATCAATCAAACGTACAACGTACAGCGGACAGCGGACAACTCCCGGCAGCCGGTGCAGAAAGTACGGTAAGGCCCCGCTGAGAATTCCACTTGCCCGTTTCTTTGGCCACGACGCAAATACTTGTAATTAAGCATTATTAATCACAGCGACTAAGCAGCTAGCAAAAGCAGCCAGCAGTCAGAGTCCCACGAGCTGAACACTTCCGTCTTGGCAAATAATTACAATAGTCATCGCCCAAGGGTTCCACATCCTGCCTCCCCGACCCCATCACCTCGAATGCCCTGCTTGACCTGCTAATGTCTCCGCATAAAAATAAATATTTAATTAAAAGTCGAGTGCGCCACGACGAGTGATTGGACAAGAAAATGAGAAGTACTCAATTTATGTTTTCTGTTGGTATTGGGTACTGCAAATGGTAAGCAATTCTCTATATTTCACATATTAACTAAGTCAACGTGGTTTTTGCATTTTGAATAATCTTGTATATAAGATAAATTTAGGACTACGATTTTGAGATAGCTAACATGGAAGAGGAAACAAATTAATACTATTAAACAGGCTTGAAAATTTGAATTACAATTATTAGTTCCGCTAAAGAAAGAAAACTGTCGAGATCGTACATTATAATTTATTTTAAATTAAAAAATAATTAGAAAAATTATATAATCAAGTTCATTCCATTTCTTTTCTATTCTTGACAGACGTGTTCATTGTCACAGCGGATTGGCTTGATCATGTTCAGCCATCGCTCGAAGTTCGAGCGTAATGACAAACTAATAATCGTTTGACTAGTTTAAATCGACTTAGTTAACTAAATGGCAGACAGCATGACAGCCATCATCACTTATTCAATACGAAATATATTATATATTTGAATTAAATTAAAGCTACTTAAAAATTCCCTGTAATGCATTTTAAATTAAAATTCACTTTTTAGGTATTAAAATATTTGACTTTCTTTGTTAAGCAAATGAAATAATTATTTGTAACATTTTTCAATACTTAGCAATAAGTAAGTGAAATCCCTAAAATCAATGATCATATTTATGCTTAACAAAATCGAGTTATTTAAAATTCGAAGCAATATTCATCAAGTTGGCTATACGAATTGAATATCGAGAACAAATAGAAATATTAAATGGCTCTTCGAATTCAGTCAGCAATGCAGAAAATCAAGTTTATTTTGATTAACAATGGCGGTTCAGTGTTTTGAACATCATCTTCAGCTTCTGCATGGTAGCAGCTCGCTTTTTGGATTCCTGGAAATTTTCAATTTTACCACACAGAAATACAAAAAGAATGCCTTATGAATTTCAAGGCATTTCTGCAAAATATGACGTATCCAATTACTCGGGAAATTCTAGTGAAAATCTTGTCTATCAAGAGTGGTTCGAATTACATTCCTTTGGCCAGATGTATTTGTTATATTTATATTTCTGGCTAAGCTCATAGATATTATGAGAAATAGGCAACTTCAGTAAATGTATGCCAATTTTCTTTTTGTAAATAACCGAATCGCGGCCCCAAATATTTATCATGGCACGTCGCAATATGTAGGCTAAAAAACAATGCAGCCACACAAAAAGCACGCACACAAAACACTTCAGGCCCAAAAGATTGGCATAGTGTGCAGTCAGAGTGGGCCAGAGAGCGGCTTGTGGGCTAATTGCGCTGTTGCCGCTGTCAACAATGTGGCAAATGGCCCAAAAGATGACAGCCTGCGCAACAAAGCCAGCTAGAAATTGCCAATTGGGCAACTGTATTGAAGAGTCTCGAGCCTTCAGCCAGCAGCCGCAGCAGGTGTCAATCAGGTTGACCCATAAACTGACCATAATTTCTAGTCAGAATTTTAACTAAACAGCCAATTATAAGTCTCTGCGAATCTCTCGCAAAAATGAAGCGTTTCGCAATTTAATTATAAATGATTTATGACTCAATTACCGTTCGAAGAAGAAGAATCCTGGCCTTTGACTAGTTCTTTATTTCGCTTGCACAACACATGGACTTAAACGCACTTTGAACTGGAAAACTTTTGGCAGACTTTTGTATTTTGCCCAAATTTCTTCTATATTTTGCCTTTAATTTTATTTATTTATTGGCGGCTGCCTGGCAGTAGGCAGCGCCGTTTGCAAGTTGGGACTTGATGGCGCCCGTGACGTATGCTATACAAAAAACACGCTCGAGCACACATACATAAATCGCACACTTGGCAAACACTTAAACTTGGCTGCGGCTGCGGCTGATTTTGACTTCCGTTTGCTGTTGTTGTCCTGTGGTCAAAATTGAATTGTTGCTGCTGTTTCTGTTTTGTGCAACAACTGGAAGTGCTTAAGCCTCATGTACATATGCACACACACTCACACACACACGTGCGCGCACAGCCATTGTTGAGGATATTTCATTAATGGAGAAAAGCGCGACGCGTCGTTCGTTCCGTTCCGTTGCGCTGCTTCGTTTCGTTTTGATTTTCGTGCGCCCGTTAGCCGCGACCAAACAACACAAATATCGAACGTGAACTGACACGAAAATTCGCCAAAAACGGGCGCTGCCACAATTCAGACCTTCGTTTAAGCCCGTTTCGTGCATATACCGTTAGCTACGAATCACACACGAAGTTGTCGACTTCGAAAAAGGTACACAACAGCGCCAAATGGTCGTTGAGTGAACTAAAGCATTGAATTGACAGAGAGAGATTAGTGAGCGCTGTGAAGAGTAGCTGTTGTTTGAGAGAGATATTCCCAGCTTTCTGAAGGGGAAATGTGCGAGGGTAAGGTACTTTTGTATGCTAAAAGGCTGGGTTATTTGTGGCATGATTTCCCCAGCTGAAGCATTTTCGAAACTTTGTTCTGACAGCTGAGACAAGAAAGTAATTTATAAAGTAAATAAAAAAATTAATTTATCTATTCAATTATTATAAATTAAATAACGTTTTAGTTAAATAAATGTAACTCCACGAAAATAATTTTAAAAATATTCTTAAAACATTTTTTTTATATTCCAAGTTTCTTTACTTATTACAGCATTTTTCTTGTTACAGTCCTACTAGCTTACAAATTTAATATATTTTGTAATATTTTATTTAATGGCTACACTTGAAAAATACATTCTTAAAAAGAAATGGTTTGAGTATTCGATCAATTGGAGAAGAGCTTTGTGTCGGTACATTCTCCTTATTAAAAAAGCTTAAAACCAAAAAATACAGGGTAATTTTTATGAAGCAGAGACATACACCAAAAATAATTTTTGCATCGGTTAATCTTAAAGCGTCTACAAAAATATTAAAAATCTCTTTGGATAAAAGTTGCAAAAAAAGTTTCAGATGAAAGTTTCGGATTAAAGTTAATTTAAAGTGTTCGTAATTTTAGCGGAGGTTCTTGAACTGACTCATATGATTTGAACTGACTAAAAACTGAAAGCTGCCTAAGACTTTAGATATTTAAAATGTATAAAATAAAGTCTTATTTCTAATGCCTAAAAATCCCTTTGGTTTTAGTATAAGGAAAAAGCTTTGAATAGTCGCTAGTTTCATTATTTGACAACAGGTGAAATTGGATGATAAAGAATTTGAATAAAATTGAAAAACAGCAGATAAAAGGGGTTTGTAGGCTGTTAGTGCAGGAATCAGTACAATTTTGATCTATAATCTTAACATATGTCATATATCACTTAAAAAATTGTTCAATATGTAAGTTTTTATATGTGTGTCGGCACTTTTACCACAATATAAATTGTAAACACGCATTGACAGCACTTTCCCACTGTTGTAAAATTATTTGTGTGTGGTATTTATGAAGGTGCCAGGAGAAGGCAGCTTTTGCTTAGTTTTCACTATTCGAATTTGAAATGGAACTAACTTTACCTGTGGCTAAAAGCATAACGTAATTCAATTCAATTTGAGTTTTATACGAGTCATTTTTCTTGAGCCATTCAGGCGAACAGGAAGAGCAGCAGCACTAACCTATGACCCACTGCTGGAACGAGGTCAATGGCCAGAAACAATAAAAGAAATTGGCCCACAGGCAAACGCAAAGGGAGACTCGGAGAGAGAAAAAGTGAGGGAGAGAGAGAGAGATAGAAAGTAAGTGAGGGATAGACAACACTGAGACCCGACTGATACGATGCGCTTAAACGTGTGTGTGTCTCTCTGTGGCTGTGCGTGCGTGTGTTTGCTGTAAGTGCAACTGACTGCTGCTGACTTATAAATCATAATTTCCAGCAAATAAATCCTTCACGGACAATTTAACCTAGGCTGTGGCAAAGTCAAAACTGCAACAGCCGCAACTCGGATCCGACTACGATTCCTGATTCTGTTGCAGATTCCGATTCTGTTTTTGATTTCGGCTGCTTTACAATAAGCCTGCTCTGCTTTTTTATTGTTCGCTCCTTGCCAAGGACGCAATGCCATAAAAAGATAGTAGTAGTGTGTGTGTGAGCTGATTTTCTGCTATAGACAAAGCGTTGAACACTCAGCAGCAGGTTTTGAGTGCCTACTTGAAATGATATTAATTTGCTAGAGATATGCACACTCCACACCTTTCAAAAATATTTTGAGTAATGCATTAGCTTTATGGGGAGGCAGGTGCAATTTGCCTTAGTCCAAAGAGTAATGAAATGATTTTGCAGAAGTTTAACTAAACCTGTGTGTGAGAGCTGCGTGTCTGCTATTGATGAAGTGTTGGCTGCACATTTTGAGTACTTGGAATGATATCAATTTCATGTTACTCAATGCTTGAGATGTGCACATTAGATACCTTGCATTTTGAGACCCCTATTTCTGAATTTGTAAGTGTGTAGCAGCTGCTGGGCCAACAATTTAATTTGCTATAGAATCTTCTATCATTGTGCTAATCTGGTATTGATGCCATCGAAATTAGAGAAATGAGATGAACTGAATTAAGTTCAAAGTGCAATGGATAGGAAGCTTATGCGGGTGAAATTGTGGTGATGGGTTTCGCTCAGTTTAAGTATTTATTTTGCATTGTTGGCTTCATTTACTACTTCTATAATTGAAAATTTATCAACTCTCTTAATTGGATTTTAAGACGCTAAAATTGTAAACAAATTCAAAAAATTTAAAACGTAAAACGGTCACATCAAGAGTATTTCTATTAGCTTCAAAATTTTGCTAAGTTTCGTGGCAAAAATCAAAAGTATTTAGACTTGTTAAGCTAACAGTTCAGTAGCTTCTTGCCAAAAACTTAAATAAAATGACAACAGTAAGCAAACTTTAATATTCAGCAGGATTTTCTTGTTGATTTGTATCTTTTTGTTGAATATTCAATAACTATGTTTTTTGCATTTTTATTAAATTATTTGTAAAAAGTTAATTCCTTATTTATTTTTATTTATTGTAATTTATTGATATAAGAATTAAACTGTTAATATTTTAAATTGTGTAACGGAAAGCTTCTGGATATCAAGATAATAATACAAAATAATATTTATTGAAATATGTATCAGGATGTATTGGGAACTCCAGATATTTACGCAAGCTGTGCAGTTAAGTTGGCGAATGTTTATTTCATTTTGAGTTTGTCATTTTGGGCAATTGTGTTTGATTTGTGGTGCTTCTTGAGGTCATTCGATTTGCTTGCGTATCTGCAATTTGGGACTATCAACATTTGGTTTAGCATCTCGACAATTTCAAATGACACAATCTAAACATTACAGCAGCAACAACCGATTTGCTGGGCGGACAGCTTAAGTAAACACACCCGCTGCCTACATGCAGCATGTGCGTGTGTGCTTGGCATATTACTTGTCCACGAAATGCATTTGACATCAGCATGCACGAGCGTCTAAGAACCTCTCTCTCCTGCGGCCCGCTTGCTCCTAGCAGCTAATTAAAGCGCGCACGCGTGTGATATGCCACGCCAGATGTTAGTCTTACAAATATATGCCCGTGTGTGCGTGTGTGTTTGTGTGGCAAGGGGCACACGACTCGGTCGCTGCAGCGAACATGTCTCACTGCCAGTCGCAACACGCGCCGCATCTTTATTCTAATCTCAGCCGCAACATGCTTTAAATTTAGCATAACACCAGGCAATGAGGCAGTCTCAGCGACGGGTCGGGTGTACGGGGCATTTCCATGCTATAAGGTCATAACAAGAACTTGGGGAGCTGCCCTGCTCCGGGGTGTTTGAACTAGGCGAACAGCTCGTGTTTTGATTTCATTTTGTCGCCGCGAATGCCGTGAAAAGGTAAACAACAATTTTTTTATCTCTTCCCTTCATTTTATATATTTTCTTTCACATTTTTTCTTCATGCCCGTGCCTGTGGCATCAGCACTTAGGCATGCAACTTGTCACACACTCTCTCTCTCTCTTTTTCCCGCACTCTGCTTTTATTTCAACATAATCTGCCTAGCTTAAAGCAAAGCTTGTACCTCCTTTTCATAATTTATTAAAAATTTTCAACTTGGTTAGTGTATAGGTAATTCGCATACATTTTCATTTGCGCATTTTCGCCCCTTTTGGCGTTTAGCAAATTATTCATAATGAATTCCCAATGATTTTTAATAATTGCAGAATTCGCGAAAAGTGCGCGTCGAACACGAATTTGTAGCTGTAATAACAAGTCGACCTATTGAAATAAACATCATTTCCGATTATTTTATATGTGCGCCATGTTATATTATTTTTGTGGCAAAAGAAAAATGAAATAGAATCGCTAAAAAGGTAAAAAACAAACATTGAGTTTTAGGGCCTGCAGTATAGTTACAAAATACATTTATTTGCTTGGTAGAGATTGACTGACTTATATATCAGTTGACGGACTGCCAGCCTGACAACGTTAGCGAGTTATAAAATTACGAATCAAATGACTTTCTGACCGACCTAACTGACTGATTGATTGAATGTCAAACTAAATGAGTCAATCAACAGGTAACGGAATTAAATGTTGATTGGTGGACCTATTTGACTGATTGAGTAACTAACTAATCTGATCGACTATCAGATTGACTGATTGAGAGAAAGACAGATAAATTGACTTATAGAAAGTCAATGTATAAATATAGATTTAATATCTGACTGGTAAGATTGACTGAGTGTTAGTTACGGGATTAGGGACAAACTTATGATTGATGGACTGACTAAGCTAATTGACATTCTGAGCAAGTCTAACTTATAAACTGACTGACCATCTTAGGCATTCAATGATTGACTGCTTACAGACTAACCGGTTAAAGAATTGAATCACTGACTGACTGATTTTCAGAATTTAGTGCAGATGCTAAAATGACCTATGCTGCAATTACCCGCCTTAGGAAAAGGAATGTTTATTAAAAAAGAATATTCCTTGTTGATAAGAAACCTAACGAAAAAGTACCGTTTTTGTGGCCATCAGACGTTAAGCTTAGATTGGTAATTTACAAAACTACTGAACAGGCTCCTGATTGCTCGTCCGCTTATCTAGTTTCGCAGTACATAATAATACTTAAATATTGTATGACTTTTTGTTATATCCTCAGTAAAAATAATCTGTTATGAACAAGTAAACTTTAATTAAATAAAAATATTCAGCCCCGAAGCAATCATCGATAGTAAAGCTTAAATATTTAGACACATATTTGAGTTATTTCAATAAAAATAAGTTACAGTATATTAACTTTATTGATATGCATATAGATTACAATCGATGCAGGTTTCGTAATAAATATTTAATTGATGTGCTTGGGCAAATTTCAATGTAATTCTAAATGCATAACGCAACAAAGTTATGGAAAATAAATTAAAAATACATAACTGTTGATGTTCAAAGACCTTAAACAAAGGGCATCTGTCAGACAGACTAAGCCGCAGGACAAACAATTTTGGCTGACCCGACGTTATTGTTAACAAAATGTT